TTTTAAAATCAATTGACGATTCAAAAAAGAAGTTTAAACTTATAGAAAATGATGTTTCATATGAACTATATGAAAATATTACAGAAATTGTACCAAATCCTAAAATAACAAAGAAGGGTAAACGTGAATTTTACGAATTTGATGTGTCATATATATTTGAAAAATGAGACTGAACAGACAAGACTAATGTATATTGTTTATGATTATTAATTTGAGAGGTTCTGATTTTTATATTCACAGAGAAATTTTGTTTAATTTGACGTTTTATTTATGTGTTCATTCTGTGTTTATTAGTTTAAATAAAAATATCATGATGGGAGAAGTTTACCACTATGCTACTCATCAAACTACTGCGTTATTTTTTTGTGCCTCATTTTTGAAAGACGTTAAATGGTATATTACTAAACCTACTTTTAAAAATATTTAACTTTTATTCGTGTTTTATTATTTGAAGTATTTAAATTGACTATATAAATTGTAAGTTTAAACTGATATTATTTTCTCATATTTTGAAAAATTAAAACTACTTAAATCAAAATTAGGTAACAAAATGGTAAACGTAACCGTAAAGTAAGATAACAGACTGAGATTTTGCATGATTTAATGATATACGATTAAATATCTCCTATTTTATGTCCATGTAATAGGTTTATGTTTGAAATAACGCTGTTACTAACAATAAAACTTAATTTTTTTAGAAAGTAACGTAGTTCTTATTTTTCTGTACCCCGTCTAATTTAACAATAAAATAAAATCAGAAATAATTAAAAATCGTCTCTGCAAATAGCTGTAATATATACTTTACATAATAATCTTGCTATCACAGTATGACATATTAACAAAAGATAACATATGTAAAAAATATTTTTTTTGTCAAATCTATTCAGCATAGGTCCCAAAATAAAATAATAGCCCGTTTATTCCATCCTAGTAGAACGTCAAAAACAATTTTAAGTATGCCGTAAGACCTTTTCTGACTGGTGAAGAAATAATAAATATTTCTTTTACCTAAATAAAGATTGATTTTCGGTAATTCGCAAAGTTCTATTTTATTTACGTTTCTATACTATTATTAGTGGCTAAGAGCACGTGTGCTTGGTTGTATAGTATTTTCCAGCCACTTCTTATCTGTAAAAACATAACTAACTTCGCAAAAAAGATCATTACTAAATTCACTAGACCAGGGGTTCCCAAATAATTTTTTTCAAGGACCCCTTCATCAAGGTACTACAATGACGAGGACCCCCACTATTTAATAAAGACCTAAACAAACCTAAAGTTACCTGAAAAGAGTCAAAATATGTGAAAACATAAATCAAACTAATGCTATTTAGGATATATTTGTGAAATACAGAGTACCTATACATTATTAGTTTTAATTTTCACTCCTCAATTAATGAGATACGTTGAATTTAACCTTAGAATCCATTATTTCTATAATATTAGGTTCCAAACTTGAAACTTTCACTCTAAAATCCGACCGCATGTCAAGCCGATTCCTATATTTGTTTTTCATGAAGCACATGGAAGAAAATGCTTGCTCACACCGGTAGGTTGTTGCAAACGGAAGGATTTTTTTCATGGCCTTGTCTCCAAGTTCTTTGTAATCCTTGCGTACTGTTGCCCAGAAGTCTGCTATTTTCTCGCCATTAAAAATGTCCTTCATCGTACCACAACTCGACAAATCCACAAGCTTATCTTGTTCTTCTTCTGTGAGGCCTTGGATTTGTTCAATTGCTTGACAGCTGAAAGGATTTCGAATCCAACCATCGTCAGCGTCAGGTTCAGGAAAGTATATCCTAAAAGTCGTGGCTAGGCTGCGTAGGTGCTCGGCTGCATTGATCTTTATCGGGCTCTGCAGACTCCAAGAACTGTTTTAAATTAGGAAAGTTAGTGAACGACTCGTTTTCAATCCTTGCCGCCCACAGCTGGCACTTTTTTACCATAGCACTGATCTTATCTTCAACTCTGAACATTAATTACTAATAAAGTGGGAATAAGCCACAATTAAATATAAAAATACTTTTATTGACGTTTCAATTTCCACTTCGGAAATCGTTCTCAAAATACAAACAGTAAATTAAACAAATTTTGTTTTAAAAAAAAAAAAAACTTTTTTAATTTACTGTTTGTATTTTGAGAACGATTTCCGAAGTGGATGTTGAAACGTCAATAAATGTATTTTTATCTTTAATTGTGGCTTATTCCCAGTTTAATAGTAATTAATTTACAATGCCACTAGAAAATAGCTTCAGAACAATACTTTGAACATGTCTACATTTTTCCCTTGCAAACTTAAGTTTAATACATTCAAGTGTTCAAACACGTCAGCTAAGTAGGCAGTTGAGCAAAGCCAAGAAAAGTCAGTGAGAACATCTGCGTACTTGGTGTCAAGAAGAAAAACACGAACTTCATCTCTAAGTTCAAAAAATCTTGTCAATATCCTCCCTCGAGAGAGCCACCTTACTTCCGTATGAATAAGAAGGTGTTCACGCTCACTGCCAATCTCTTTGCACAACAAAGAAAATAATCTGGATTGCAGAGGTCGAGTTTTAATGTAGTTAACGATTTGAACTACTTCGTTAAGTATCTTCTGCAAAGGTTCAGGCAATGTTTTGGCTACCAAGGCTTCACGATGAATACAACAGTGTATCCATTTCACCTCAGGAGCTACTGCTTTCACACGAGCTTGAAGTCCTGCTTTGTGGCCAGCCATTGATTTTCCTCCATCCGTAGACAAGCCCACACATTTTGTCCATGTGACGTCATGTTTATTGAAAAAATCATTCAATGCAGTAAAAATATCTGCTGCTGTTGTGTGAATTAGTTCGCATGAAAAAAGAAAATCTTCCAATATCTGGTCGTCCCACAAAAATCGAACAAAACACAACATTATTGCTTTTTTTGATATGTCGGTGCTTTCATCCAATTGAAGAGCAAACATGTCGCTCTTGCTAAGTCTGACCAGCAATGTATCTTTAATGTTATTGGCCATATCTGAAATTCGTCTTTGGACAGTATTGTTAGAGAGCGGAACAGTACTTATTATCTTAACAGCCGCATCACCCAACATTCTCTTGCATAGAATTATTGCTGATGGTAGTATGAGTTCTTCAGCAATTGTATGGTTTTTTCCACATTTGGCGACAAGCTGAGATATCTCATAAGATGCAAGGGTTGCATTTTCATTTACATTTGCACAATAGTGTTTAGTAATGTTTTTAAGAGATCTTCTAAGCTCTCCTACTTTGTTTTTAAAAAAATCTAATGACTTACTCTTGTACTCTGGATGTTTTTTCTCAAGATGCCGACGGAGTTTTGCTGGCTTCATACACTCATTCGAAAGGCTTTCGTAGCAAACGACACATTGAGGTTTAGGCTGCTGCTCAGGGCCAGTGAACGTGAAACTTATTTCCAAGTAATCAGAGTTGTATTTTCTAATTTTTGCAGCACTGATCTTGGCCGAATTAGGTTTAAGAGACGCCGATGAGTTGGGTTCAATAGACACTGACAAGTTCGGTTCGAGAGTCATTTACTTTTTAACTTTAACATTGAATGCATTTTCTCCCTCTTCGTCTGTAGGTCTATCCCGTTTTAACGATCCACATTTTAACCAACGGTCCATAACGTACGCGTAATGTAACTTTCGGTGAGAAACAAAGCTTTAAAATGTTGCACAAAATCACACGTTTCACGGTCGGGGACCGCACTAGCAATGAACTAACAACTAACTACCTGGAATGCAAACAGACAGCGCAATGTCGCCAGGTCAAAAAACTAAAAAATCACCAGACAATTGCTTCAAAAGTTGCCAGATTTTGTTAAAGATCACCAGATTGTTCCGAGTATGCGCAGTAACGAAAAATGTGTTACTGCTGGAAATCCCGACAATGTAGATTATTTACTATTTAAAACGTTTTATGTCGTAAACTTGGCCTGACAGACCACCTTTGTTTCAACAAATCTTTTTGTTGAAACACCTTGTAATTTTTGCTCGTGCTACCAAATTTTTAATATAAATAAAAACTGAAAAATAGTTAGTAATACACCTACCTGTGTTTGAGATTTTAGATGATCAAACCAACACAAAACGTGACAAAACTACAAATATGAAAACTAGTAATTCAGTCTACATAATCACTTAAAATTGCACAGCCGACACAAGAAAGATAAAACTGATAAATTGAAAATTGATATGTTGATAATAACTGAATTGGTTTGTTTATAAAACCAAGACATAAATTATTGGAAGGGTATGAACACGTCCAAGAATAGCGTAAACTTCGGGAAATCCCCGGTTGAACACCTTAGAGGCCGATCATTTTATATTACAAATTAGACTTTGTATGATATGAATATTAGTTAGGCAATTCTTAATAACGAATAACAAACTTAAATAATATAATTGTACTTTTTAAATTTTAAAATAAATTTATAATATGTAGATAAGGTCAAAAAATCACTAGATATTGTTTTTGTCCCTGGCTCTTCATATATTTATTTTTACATCTTGCGGACCCCTCAGCCATACCTCGCGGACCCCCAGGGGTCCGCGGACCACCAGTTTGGAACCACTACACTAAACAGTTCGGACTGTGAATAGCGTACCGACTATAGTAAAGCACGTGTCATGTTTTGATGTGTTTACTACGATTCAAGATAATAAACATTAATTTTTAAGTATTTAAATCTAACACCCTCTATTTATTAAAACTAAAAACTTTGTGTCCAAATGATTTTTAATTACTATTTAACTGGGAATAAGCCACAATTAAAGATAAAAATACGTTTATTGACGTTTCAATTTCCACTTCGGAAAATAGTAATTAATTTACAATGCCACAAGAAAATAGCTTCAGAACAATACAAATGATTTTTATTTAAACGTCATTTTTTAAAAATAAAAATCGTGTAATAAAATTATTTAGTTGAACTAAAACAACATGTGCAATTAAAATAAAAAAAATCCCATATTAAGTCAAAATTAAGAGAAAACTTACGTTCGGTAGTTTTCTAGCAGGCCGAATATGTAGTCCCCCAACAGGAATAATGTTTGGCGTTAAAGGTCTCGCATAATTAAAACCCATTATAATATTGGTAAGTACAAGCGATAAATGTCTCTCCAATTTTTCAGTGGGAGCTATATCTTCTCCAAAAGCCATTTTGGCAATTTCAGTGCGCCTGGACTGGTATATTCGGGACCACAAATATATTTCTCCATATGTGTAGACATAGTTTTGTATTCTTTCGAAGTAGCTCATTTTGGAGCTGAACTTAGAAAACATATGTGGAACAAATGCTGGATGTACGGTGTTTCCAAAAAGCTCTGATAAATATGGTAATAACAGGAAAGGACACACTGCAATACTTGGAGGAAAATTAAACTTTTCTAACAAGGGCAAAAGACAACCTCCTAACGACATATCAATAATAATAAGATCAAATCTGGTATTTCTATTTTCTTGTAACAGTTTTTTTATGGCCGGTGATTGTGCAATATGAAAGCAAGTATTGTCAGTGTACTCGTAGAGTAATTTAATGTTTCCATAGATACCATACTGTTGAATTTCATTGGGGTCCATTATTTCCTCGACAGCTTCATGTAAGTCTGAAAATCCCAAAAATAGCTAAGAAATATATTTATAAAATTATCTGAAAAATTTACTTAATGAAAATTCAGGTAAACATAAATTAAACGCGAAATATATATTTTATCCTTAAGTTTAAATTTTAGTCCAGTCGTCAGAGATTGATCCCTAACAATCATAGTAACAAGCTGAATTTTGTCGAAAATATCAATTTTGGGACCCAATAAAGGATACAAAAAAGTTAACTACTTTAAACCTCTGCTTTTCCCCCTAGAACCACCCTTGCAATAGGGTAAACATACAAAAAAAATTATTTACCAAGAATCTGTACGCCGTAGAAAAAAATGTTTCGAAATAAAAATTGTAGATGTGATAATTTTAAACAAAAGTGTTAATTGGCACTTTGTGCTTTAGCGACAAAAATCAAAATGCCTTTTAAAGGCAAAGAGTTCAGCTTTTTTGTATAATTTTATTTATTTTGTATTTTGCCAAAAATAAAGACTATAAAGGTTCTATAAAGGTTTTCAATAAATAAAAATTTTTTAGATTTTTGCCATTTTTTACGATTCTCGTGAGATCTATAATATTTATTACTTTCTACATTGAACGGTTGTAATGAAATTGTCATTGTTGGAGACTAGTATTTAAAATCTATAACATGAAAATTCGAATTTAATTTTTTGCAACGAATATGAGGCATTTGAATTAGGACTAAAAATGCAAAATTTAACCTGTTACATTACAATCGATCGCACATCACGAAAAATGCCCCCTAGAATACGGTTTTGGGTGTAATTTATAGCAGAAGTTAAGTACTTTTGAAAAATGTATTATTGTAATAAAAAAAGATCAGCTTTAACCCATTAGCGCTCCGTGGCAACTTTAGTTGCCAGTGACTTTCAACATCCGTAAAATCTCTTGTGTATTGTGTGTGGCCTATTTTTAAGTGATATATAATTTTTAGCGTGTCCACATGTATTTATAACCTACAAATTTGCTTATAAACTTGTTAGGTGCTCGTTAGTATTTATTTCAATATTAGAGTTTTGCAGCAACCAAACTTAGCCCGAAACAATGTAAATATTTTTTAGTTAATTTATATTATTTTGTGTTCATACCCAATTCATTTTAAACCAAAGGTTTATTATATAATATAATGATCTAAGAAAATTAACTGTTCATTGAATTATAACCTAATTATGGTAACCTAAATTCACGTGGCAACTCTAGTTGCCACTGAGCACTAGAATGATTTATTTTTTTCTTTTAGGTCTGAAGATAATACGTTTAGCGTAGATAAAATTATGAAAGCTTGTGAAGAAAATTACAGATCAAGTTTTTTTAGAAGAATCTGGTCTGTAGGAGTAGTTTCTCCTATAAAATCTGCTGAAGCTGATACTGACGAAGATTCAGATTTATCAGATGATGAAACTGAAGGAAATCCAAATCATTTACCAGGTAGAATCCTCAGATTGGAAACGATTGTTGAGTTGGATGAGGAAATTGTTGAGAATCATTCAAAAAGTACAATAAATATCGGTTTGAATAAGAAAAATATTGATTGGCCACAGCCAAATACTTCAAAACCTATTGGAAATAAAAAGCGAAAAGTAAGTGCATCTTAAAACAGTGTTTGGTCTCTAAAGAAAACAGTTGGAATTTACCTGCCGTTACTATACCCTCTGGACCATCGACTATAACATTTTTGAAAAACTCAGTAAATTCTCCACTTCAAATGCTTGTTTACTGATACTTTACTTGAACATATCATTACACAAACTAATCTTTAAGCCGGACAAAGGGGAATGGATAGTTTAAGTAATGTAAGTTATGATGAAATTTCTGTCTTGTTGGGAATAATCTTATTATCTGGTTACCACCAACTGCCGAGTAAGCGGATGTATTGGCAAAATAAACCTGACTGCATGGTAGCTATAGTTGCAGTAGCAATGCGAAGACGTCGATTTGAGGATAACGGTATCTCCATCTAAATGATAACTAGAAGATAAACACTGACAGGTTTTAAAAGGTCCGTCCTATGTTTGATTATCTAAATAATTCATTCAAGCAAGTATCAGTCGGAAATTCAGTTGCTGTAGATAAGAGCATAGTCCCGTATTGTGGATATCATCTTAAAAAACAATTTATACTGGGCAAACCTATTCGTTTTGGGTTTAAATTGTGGGTTTTAGCAAGCCCTAATGGATTTGTGTCTCATGTTGAACCATACTGCGGTGCACATACAAAGCTTCCTGATACTGGACTTGGACAAGGAGGAAATGTATTACTAGGACTTGCTAAATATGCCAACGTTCCTAGCGGAACTAAATTATATTTTGACAATTTATTCACTTCTTTGTCCTTAAGTGAAGAACTGTCAAAACGAGACTTGAGAGGAACTGGAACATTACGATAAAATAGAATAGCAAAATGAATGAATTTACCTATGAAAGAATCTTTTAAGAAATGTAATAGAGGGACGACACATTCCACATTTAATGGAAAGCTAATAGCCATTAGATGGAATGACAATGCTGTTGTAACAGTATTATCAAACTGCCACACAGAAGTGCCGTTTAAAAATGTTCAGCGGTTTAGTAAACGTAAAAAAAAGAAGATGATGATTAAAATGCCTCATGTCATTTCCCACTATAATTCTAATATGAGAGGTGTTAACCTAAATGATCAGTTCACTGCTCAATATAGATGCAAAATTCGCAATAAAAAATTGTGGTGGCCACTCTATGCTTAATCTGTGGATGAATTTTGTGTTCAAGGTTGGCTTCTATATAGGCTTATAGGTGACGAATTACCATACGTGCAATTAATGGCTAAAGGTTATAAACCATTAACCATAAATCCGGGCCACATACGTCGTTTTTCACTTCCGCTGTTTTAGAAGATCTAAGAACGGACAAGAAAAATCACATTATTGCGAAAGAAGACCCAAAGTACCGCAGATGCAAAATGTGTCAAAGAACAACAACATACTTGTGTAATAAATGTAATGTACATCTACATATGAATTGCTTTGAAACTTTCCATAAATAATTTCCATAATACGTATCTCTAGTTTTGTTAAAGCACGATTCGTTTTTAATACATTTCTATTACATAGACAATTTTTAGTTATTACCAAACCGTAAGCGCTCAGTGGCAACTAAAGTTGTCACTCATTTTGACAACCTTTTGACAGGCCTTGATTTTTTTATGTATTTTTTAGTAAATATGTAACACTATTTGTAATAAAATCTATAAAAAAATTTACAACTTTCAAACTTTTTTAGTTCTGAGCACTAATGTGTTAAATGTTTTAGATCGTTTGTAATGTGAAAGTTTAAATTCATCATTTTTTAAGCATATTTCGAATGCCTCAAATTTCTCGCCAAAATTTAAAACTAAAATTGAGTGCTATAGGTTTTAAAGATTAATTTCTATTTATAGAAATTCCATAGTGGCTGGTCAATGAAAGGAATACATTGTACTGATCAAATTAGAATAATAAAAAATGACAAAAATCGCGCCACCTACTTTTTGTTGATAGAACACTCGGATCAAAAGATATTGAATGTTTACCGTCGAGCTGATACAAATTGTATTGAGCATTAATTATTTCGCGCTGACACTCAAAATCGACAGCAGTAAAACTGATATTATAATATTAAAACTAAAAATATAAAAGAAATTACATACCACAATATGGCAGATGTTTAAAGAACACCTTGTATATAACTTATTCAGTCATTTTATCAATTCATATGCGACAAACAGGTATGATATATTCTAAGCAAATAAACTTTTTAAACCAGTGGTACATGTAGCGAGTTTTACGATCTCTACAAAAAGCACAACGCCCCCTTTTATTTTGCAATTTCGCAGGTGCTTCTACTGGTCTAACACCACTGAGTTTACCAACAACCTCTCTTTTATCTCGTGCCAAATGAGGAGATTGAGCTCTTGCTTCTATAGTGTCCATCACTTACTGAAGACCTAGTTCTTTAAAAAAAAATCTTCTTCTTTTGCTTGTTTTTAGATCCGGTGTGGATCCACACCACCTTTCGTAGATAGAACATTATTGCTTCAGGTTTACTTTCGTCACCCGTTGTCGGATCGATTTGGCCATCATGGTGTAGGGTTGACAAAAGAACAACATGTTTTTTGGTTTTGGTATATAGGACAATACTGTCATATCTTTGGTAAATCCAAACATAGTTGATTTTGGCGGTCTATTGTTCATTAAAAATTCGGTTGGGATATGCCTTTTGTTTTTCGGTAGGGTGCCTGCAATTGTTAGACTATGATTTGTCAGTAAGTTTTTTGCGAGTTCAGTTGATGTAAACCAATTGTCTATTGTGACATTCCGGTTGGATCTGGAGATTGGTTTGCAAAGCCGCTCAACCACATCTTTGACTGCAGAAATGATAGAATATGGACCTGGTGGTTGTGTACCGGCATTTATTTCTAATTGATAAGTATAGAACGTGCGAGAATCCTCCAAGGAATATACCTTCAGACCGTATCGGGCCGGTTTTTTTGGAAGTTACATTCTAAAACTACAGCGACCTCTAAAGCCTAAAAGCATCTCATCGATAGTGACATATTGGCCAATGGTATAATATTTTTGAAAATTTTCAACTACATCCTCGAATACGACTCTAACTGCTGCAAGTTTGTCTACTTTTGCCCGTTCGTCCCTTGTACCAATGTCATCATAACTTTCTTCCTCGTCGGTTGCAACTTCCTCGTAGAGACGTTGCAAATGTTTTGCCTCTCTCTCGTAAGAATACATTGTTTTGCTAAGCTCTAAAAACAATGCACTGCAAATTTTGTTTTGTACTTTCATAAGTTGTTTTGGGTTGGGTCTGAGAGAACGAAAACAGATATATCATCGACACTATTGCTTTAATGCGCATTAGTAACTAAGGAATTATAGCTAGCTATGCCGTCGAAAGGTACCTAGACCGCCAGGACCGTACTTAGACTCGCTGACTGAATAGAGATATTAGAAAAACTGAATGGG